CCAGTTAAGCTCAAAACAAAGATAGGATTCCAGTCAGTAAATCACGCCATATTCGACTAATAATGAGTTTAAATGCAAGATGTAAAATCACTACTGAAGTGCGAGAATAATACGACAGTAGTATACCACAGGATATACATTCATTACTGGGCAACGGTGCACATACGGGTTCGAAGTTTAGTGATTCTGAAGTCGATTACCATACCAATGTGTGTTGGACCGTTGTGCTCAGGTTGAACTTCACGCGCAGCACGTTGTCAGGTGTTTAGCTAACCAGAGTTCCTACAAATGAATTCCGTGAGGTTGATCAGTGTTTTCCCAGCATCATGACCCCATTACATATAATAAATACAGGTCGTTTTGGAAATCAGGGAAAAAAGCCATCATCAGTTCCAACACATCTAACCCATTCTGACCAAAAGACACTTTACCTATCCAGTGCTGTTGTCTGTACTCAACTCGAACCTATTGCATATGGATACTGATAGGTCGGACTGAACTGTTGAAAATTTGGTCCAATCATTTAAAATTGTCTGACATCCATGCTTCCTGAAGTGAGCATGAGAGCGAGGTGTTGTCAGGTTTCTTTAACACGGACAGAGGCATTCTAAGTTAGAATTAAGTTTGTGACTTGTTCCCTAACGGCTGATCTGCAATAGCTACTTCAAGGGAATGAAGGGGGTTACAGAATCGAAACAGTAGCCATCCCTTCCAAACAAGTCCTTAGGCTTGTTCTTGCCAAACATTGAATCTACAAATTGGATCTTCAAAGTGCGCAATATATTTTGCGTGTTCGTACTCATTGCGGCAATCACACTCAGTTTAGGTTAGCTCAATATTGAACCGTAAACATTGCTAAAAATCTGCCGTTTCCGAAACATGTGATATTTTCGTCTGTCCGCATCCAAGATTACCGGACATTGGTGTGACATGTCATCGTGTCCCGGTTAAATGTTGAATTACGAAGTACCGGTCAAAGCGCTTGGTGCTTTATTTATCATCAGTCTGCTCTTCACACTAATCATACCATATGGGTGTTGTCATCAAGGTTCGTTAATATGTTTGTTTTTCGACATGACAAGGTGAAATATCACTTTCAATGGTGTTCCTACCCAGGCGTATGATTTTTTACCCCTGATGCAGCTTATTTGTCTCCTTTTTTCCACTTCAGTAGTAGCCTTCATTATACCGATTCGGATTGTGTCTGTTCCATATCTTTCTCCTCGACTGTGTGACTGTAAATTATCTAGTGACGTCACTTCCATCCACAGTCACGCTCGAGTGATTTGTTTAGTTACAACCACGGGAGTTCAATCGATATGAACACCGAAACCTAGGAATTCACATTGTGGGGCTGTTACGTCTTGGGAGTGATCAGTATTTCTGCCGGTAGCCTGAAATAGTGCACTCATTCCTGGTGCGAATGAACTGCTCAAACATACAAGAGCACATTGATTTTGCTTGCTCTTTCAAAGCTCTCATCTGGACAATGAATCGTTAAGCCAATTACACTGTCTTTACTGTTTCAACTATGCCGCTAAAGCAGGTTTATTTGCCGTATTTTTGTGCTACTTCTCAGCACCGTCGTCATGCACAGTGAAAACTGGAGTTTAGCTACCCTCCAAAGCATTATGTTGGTGCAAGACACCATAAGTGGGATTGACTCAATGTCCTTTGTAAACAAGTCCGGCATACAACGACAGGCAGTCCGGTTAAGTGACAGGATATCACTTTTGTGGTTGATGAAGGTAAGATGAAGGTAAGAAGGGGACAAACGGTTTGACACTAGAGTTGGTACCTCTGGCCGTTCATGTCAGCAACTCTCACCTGCGGTACCAAGTAGCTGTTCTTGTACGACAAGTCACATACAGGCACCGTTGCAGTGGACGAGATAGCAGGTAGCCGCTGGTGAGACGCATAAACGATATCTTTTTGTGGGTTATGTTGTTGTTTCTGGTCAACATGTCTTCTGTGATCGCATTCAATGGTGTAGAAAGCGGTTGCATACTTGGATCATCATTCCACTGTATGCATACAGTGGAGAGTGTCCTGCGACACTCACAGAGTCTCTCATACCAGGTTGGTCAATGGTTAGAGGTCTGACGAACACAGTCGCCTGGCCCTCCAGGTTGGGGTTGGAACAGGTGGCGACTTGTTCCGTAGAAATGGTAATGCATTTTCATTTTCCGCCAAACACCGCTGCCTTGCGGTTAGGCTTTTGAGCCAAAGGCTTTGGTTGAGGACCCTAATCGTCCTTCTGTCTAGGTGTGGGCGCCCTGGCAGTATCCCAGCCCACGTGCAACCATGAATGGTTGTACGGCAGTCAAGCATCTGTGTTGAACACTGATGTCATGCTGTCGGTGATGATGATGATGACCACTGTATGTTTCGATTAAAATTGTCCTTTCGATCGACGGCATCTTCAAGGAGCGACATCCTGCGTTGGTGAATAGTGTACAGGATAGGGTGTCCAAGACCAGCAATAATCGTTCAGCTGTAGCACCCTTCCGGTGCCTAACTGCCATGCCACCCGAAGGTTGCACGAGGGCTGGGATACTGCCAGATTGCCCAAGCCTAGACAGGGGAAGTTGAGAGGCATAGGTTGGGTTCGAACCACGGACCCTGCGGTCAGTAAATTCGCTCTCTAACCACTTGGGCCATCTTGCCCCGACCAGCAGTATTAATGGACCTGGCCTAATTTCTCATAGTACATGATCAGTGCAGATACGAGCGCGCAGGTAATTAGGTGGAAATCAATGGGTGTCTTCTCTACTACGTCCTTACTTTTATCAAAGCGGTTAGCAAGTAGCCGGCACTCAATTGGAACTTTGGGTTGTTGGGTCCACCTTCACTTTACTTTGAGTCCATTTGCAATAGATCACTCAGCTAATTCTCATGATAGGCGTACCTCATACTCACTGGGGCACCAAACCAGGCTTTATCAATCGTTCGGGTAATTATATCTCGCCCTAATAGTAGCGTCCTTCGGTGCTGTTGTATTTGGTTTTTGCTTTTAGAGTGATTTCCAAACATGCTGTCTTGGACTCCTTTTGCTTTTCTGACTCACTTTGCTTCATTTCGTGTGATGCTTATTTTTCATCTATAACAGAGGGCTGAGTGATAGACTGAATTGAATTCGAATACTTAAGCTGAGTTCCCGTGAAGACTTGATTATGTACTCTTGGGAGGTGAATTAGCCATCTGGGAGACCAGAAAATGAGTCTTTGTGTTACAGGAAGTCTGCTTCCTCCTTTGTTTCCACAATTATTTCCTTGGTGAAGGTGTTCCATCCTTAGCGGTTTTTTCGGCAACTGGAGTTCACTGTTAGGAGCTTGGTAAATACTTTACTTTAATAAGTCTTGTTCGTAGCTTCGCTATCTTGAGACCGTACTGAAACCATTGTGCTCCAAATTGCCACTTGAGTAAACTGTCCGTCACGCCAAAAAGATCCGCGGTTGTTGTGAGGATAGTGCTGTATCAGTGTTGATGAGATCAGCCGTTTTTTATGGCTGTCGGCTGGTAAACTCTAGCCGATAACAAAGCGTGCTATGATTTTTGTCGGTATCCAGAAATCTATCCTGTTTGGTCCTGGCGAATTGTTTTCTGGGAGGTTCGTTTGGGGGTTGCGATAATCTTGTCACCGTTTTATCATCTTTCCGATTCACCTTAATGATTCTCATGCGAGCTGTTGTTGAGTAGTTTAGTGACTTGGATCTCTTCTGGACTGTTTAAATCTTTTTTAAGCTTCATCGGCTTCGAGGTGCATCAGTTATTGTGCGGCTATGCGTTAGAGAACATCGTATTCGATTCTTTTCTAGTAGAATCATACTCTGGTTCGGTAGTCGCTTCGTTGTAGATTACAGATGGATCCCAAGCAGCACTAATAGCATATTTTGGACAGGGGTACAACTCTCACCTCCGCGTGATCATCCAATTTCAGCGTCCCCTGCAACCACACCGTCACCTCTCTTATCCTCATGATTGTGAGAGGTGGTTCTGAGGATTGGTCCTCTTCCGTTCCAGTCACCAAGCATTTGGATTTCTCTTCCTCTTTGTGTGCGGCTATCCTTATCTTCTTTGCCTTCGTTTCTCAGAACTAACACTTGCTCTTTCAACCGTGGACGTTTAACTTTTTTATGTCCAACCGTCCGGTGCATAGTCTAGCTACTGAAACTCACTTATTTCCCCATTTTTGTGCTGTTCATATTTGGTCATGAATTTTTCTTCTACTTTGGTGACTTGTCGTGGTTGATGCTCGAAAATCACCACCCAACAACGGGATTCGACTGAGTTTGGAATAGATTTCTCGTTATTTTCATAGTGGTTAGCACTCATACTAACATTTACATTACTCTGAAATTGCACCGACTTCAGTCCAACATAAGGTTGAGCGCATATTCAGTACATCTTTTGCTGCGGTCACTGTTTACGTAATACCACATATCCTATTGTTCTCAGCACTGTTTTGCATTTCCCCCCAAACGCTTCTTTTGTCCGATCACGTGCCATGGACACGTGACCTATTACAGTGTCTGACGTTAGGACCAGGTAGCGCACGCACGAATTTGTTTATCGTGTTTGGTTTGTGCCTCAGCGGACCACGTCTTGACCGCACGTACATTTTGATGTATCGACCAGTGAACTATCCGTGTTGCCAGACGGAGTCGATTTTACTCCGGGCTTCCTTGATAGTTACCGTCTACTGGCATACTAACAGCACGTCGGAAGCCGTGCAACAAACGTGGTTTAATTCAGGAATTAAGCAGATTGTCTGTTCGTCCCATTTTTAGCTTTACATACGTATCCAAGTTCTGATTCGCCAGACCACCCTATCTGGAGGAGCGGAACTTCGGTCGTTTCTAGTGCAAGATTGCCCTGGAACGATCCACTCAATTTTCTCGCCTTTCTCTCAAGTAGTTGGCAACGGTATTTGGGTTTTCCAACTGAAAGCAGGTGCAATACATACACAGACACTTTGTATAACACAAGTTATGGTGAGTTCAGAATCTGCTGCACATGACCGAACCCTGTCTAGACTTGGGCAACCTGGCAGTATCCCAGCCCTCGTGCTTCCTTCGGATGGCATGGCAGCTAGGCACCGAAAGGGTGCTACAGCCGAACGATTGGTTGACTGAACTTCGTTCGAATGGAATAGTGTACGCATAAGTATATTGTGTACTGCCACCAAACGTCACTGGAGTAAGCATTGGAAGTTTACAGCAAAACTGAACTTTATTTGAAGAATAGCGATAGCATGTGTGAGAAAGACAACCTAAGAAGTCGACAATATCTGTTCTGCATGAATGCTGTGAGCGGGCTCTTACAACCACTCAAGGGCCATCCCCTGTGAAAGTTGCTCTGTGTTTTCCTCTCAGACTAACTACTTTCTGCCTGGATCACGTGTAGTTAGTTGGCTGGCTTGGATAGTAACGGTTTAACGGCGAACAACCACCCTAACCCTCTTTTCCGAATATGTTTACGTCCTCTGCTGTCTGTGTATCGTTGACCTTCATTCGGTCAATGACCAGTTATTTCGCATTGTCGTGGGTTTGGGTGACCTTAGACGCATATACACGTGCATACACTCATGTGCCGTGTTCAGCAGACGCGTACCGACTCTTCATTTGCAGTGCCAAACAACACACGTTCATTGTGTTCCATCGATCATTAATTCGTCAGCGCAAAGTCGTAGGGCCAGTCGTGTATCGTCATGGCTGTTGATGGAAACTGATTCAAAAGCGGTGCGCCGGCTTTGCTGTAGTATGGCACCGAGACAAACGTTCTGTAGACTAATAGAATGGTTCAACCACATTACAACCGCTACTTTACGACCATCGGTTCCCCTCGCAATGTAGCTGACAGCTGGTCTAAAACACAATGTAGATACCAATCCAGTACACCAATCAAGAGTAGACTTCCAACCGATTGTCGTGATATTTTGCTAATGATACAGTCAGACAAATGCGGAACTTGTGAACTGGGTCCCTGGGGTGGTTATCAGAAGTGTGACCTTTTCTAGTCCAATCATTAAGCATTGCCTTTCCGCGAAGTGCACTCGTTTGACTCGAAACTCGACCGAATTCAGCTGAAGCACATCTGAGTAGCACGTTCAGTCAAGAAGAAAAATACCAACGTTTCGAATCGATTGAATTACGTGGCATGCATGCACTTTTCCAAACATCGTGCCCTCCTGGCCAGATTTATCCGTCCCAAAAGGAACGAACAGTCGGCCCTTTTTTCTCATTTGCTTCCCGTCAAAACCCAACGCATTCTTTCTTGTGTCGTGTATCTTGCTTGTATGGGTCTAGACGGCAGATGCCTGTGCCTGTCTGCCCCGATCTCCGGACACAGTGGTTTTATCGATCGGCATAGAGAGTGAGAGGAGGGTAAATGACTTGTCTGATTCACAACCAAACGCTGGTCACATGGTTCGTCCGATCTCACCTGCACCGCTCGCTTCACAAGTTTGTCAGTCCATCCTGCCTACCTGGTCTTGAACCCCCTGGATCCGGACGGCGTAAGCTTGTTTTCAGCCAGTGCCCTGAGAAACGGAAAAGGGGAGAGGCGCATTTGCGAAATTGATCCAGGAATGTGATTTCCCAAAATAGTATCCCAGGGTTTCTCGCAGCACTGACCACTCTATGCTTTAGTTGGATTAAGTAGTTTAGTCTTATGAACAACTCGTTATCGGACCGTTGAACGCTTGTACGACTCTCCTCCACATCCAATGGCAAGGCAGTATCCGTGGCATAATTTTCTTGCGACCTCCTTCGAGGAACCAACCTCAGAAACACTATTTCGGAATGCCTGATTTATTCTGCAACGGAAATGTCCACTGCCGGCAACCCACCTTCACCACTCAGTTATGGCGTCAGATGGTTGACGTCATAGATACCGCTGTAACACCAGCAGTCCACTGGCTTCCGATTAACTGATAATTTGGTCCGAACTACGCGCACGCCACTTTTTTGTTAGAAAACGTCACAGGTGTGATGCAGATTAAATGTAACGAAACACATTTAACTGGATATCCTCATAATCGCCATTGTTCTGTCGTTGTTTTATTCGAATACATCGTGATCTAGCGGGGCTTAGCTGTTGTTCTACCAGATGGCACCACTCGCTCGAAATAGCCTGGATGATGGAGGCTGAAGGTTATAGTGCAGGTCGCCACGTTGAATTACTCAGTAGTGTGGGGGATACGACAAAACTTTAGCACTCCCCATCATAGTCATGTTTCTTGCAGGGAAATATTTCCGGTGGCACGAAATTTCGACATCCCTCCATATTGTTTTCTTGAGCGCCCAAGTACCGTGAGAAGTTTGATCTGGGTCCAACAACCTACAAGAGACCAAACGCTGGTCACATGGTTCGTCCGATCTCACCTGCACCGCTCGCTTCACAAGTTTGTCAGTCCATCCTGCCTACCTGGTCTTGAACCCCCTGGATCCGGACGGCGTAGGCTTGTTTTTAGCCAGTGCCCTGAGAAACGGAAAAGGGGAGAGGCGCATGTGCGAAATTGATCCAGGAATGTGATTTCCCAAAATAGTATCCCAGGGTTTCTCGCAGCACTGACCACTCTATGCTTTAGTTGGATTAAGTAGTTTAGTCTTATGAACAACTCGTTATCGGACCGTTGAACGCTTGTACGACTTTCCTCCACATCCAATGGCAAGGCAGTATCCGTGGCATAATTTTCTTGCGACCTCCTTCGAGGAACCAACCTCCAACACTATTTCGGAATGCCTGATTTACTCTGCAACGGAAATGTCCACTGCCGGCAACCCACCTTCACCACTCAGTTATGGCGTCAGATGGTTGACGTCATAGATACCGCTGTAACACCAGCAGTCCACTGGCTTCCGATTAACTGATAATTTGGTCCGAACTACGCGCACGGCACTTCACGGCACGTCACAGGTGTAATGCAGATTAAATGTAACGAAACACATTTAACTGGATATCCTCATAATCGCCATTGTTCTGTCGTTGTTTTATTCGAATACATCGTGATCTAGCGGGGCTTAGCTGTTGTTCTACCAGATGGCACCACTCGCTCGAAATAGCCTGGATGATGGAGGCTGAAGGTTATAGTGCAGGTCGCCACGTTGAATTACTCAGTAGTGTGGGGGATACGACAAAACTTTAGCACTCCCCATCATAGTCATGTTTCTTGCAGGGAAATATTTCCGGTGGCACGAAATTTCGACATCCCTCCATATTGTTTTCTTGAGCGCCCAAGTACCGTGAGAAGTTTGATCTGGGTCCAACAACCTACAAGAGCTGTTCGTATCAGCTGTCTTGCAGATATTTTAATGGCACAAACTATGTTATGCTTCCGACAAATCGTAGTGTATATACCCACAGGGATGCTGAAAACTTCAGCAGTTCCTGACTGATTGCGCCCTTCCACTTCGGGTTCATCAGGTAGGCGTAGTCCACCGAGTTTCCGTCAACCTTATGTTCTATTTGAACCACGATTACTGACCTCGCAACTATACTCATTTGTATATCAGTTTGTTTTTTACGAGAGACTCAGCTGAATATGCTGCACAAAGGCCGCCTCATGTCTCGGTTGACACCATATTCGAGGTATTGCAGTATATTTTCATAGAGGAAACTACTTACAAGGTTGCTGAAAACTCATTTGTTTGTCGTGCACTCCGACTGACGGAACTATTAGCCGCAGGCTGGCACCAGGTATCTTCCATCGCAACGGTGGTCGTACACAATGAATGAACGATGCACAGTATGGGTGTTGTGGATATGCAATTTCCTTCGAATATCAGGGATTCTTCGTCTGTTGATCGTTAAGTCAATGCTGTTCAGTTTTTTAGATTGTGCATCCATGTCCTGTGTACATATCCTCCCTCTGGGACAGGATCCTGCTAGGTTTGTGGTTATCATTCAAGCTACATCGATTTTCTGACGATCGTATGTTGTTGTAGGCTGGTTATTCTCCAAACTCCGGTATGATCAGTAGCAGTTTGAGCCGCTGTATCGTTGGCGATGGAGGATTTTAGACGAACAACATTCGTGCATTTCCATGTGTGGCATGAATGGCACCCCCGTGCATCCTCCTATGGGTGCGGTCATTATTGGTCGAACGATTTGATTTGGTGTTTCGTACTTGGCCAAACTAACTTTATTAAACTTATGTTGAATCCTGTCACTTCATAACTATGCACCCAATAGTAATCTGGAATGACCTTACGGTGAAGGGAGAAGAGAAACAGTGTTAGTCGAGAATTATACGTCTTCGATGGGAGTCGATAAAATGAACATCGTTCTCACATGGCTTGCAAACTTTCTACTTTGCTGCATCACGTGGCCCACCCTGTCGTTGAATGTTAGCCACAGCATACTCTTGTGCCAGTTAGTAGGTTGCTCCTCTCGCTTAATTCCGAACTCGGTATCGTTGCTTCCCATTCTACGCAATCGGGGTTGAACAGTGTTGATTGTTAGGTGGTGTTACTAGTTACAGGACATCTGGTAATCGAAAGCTGTTTGAGACCTTTTTCAGTCATGGGCTGCATTCTCTTAACTTCTCAGCACATTGAACCACGATTCTCTATCTATCGGGAAACATTTAAAATGTAAGAAAATTGGGTAACATGTAGGTGCCGGATGCAATAACATCTTTCAACAAGGCTCATATGAACGAGCCCTTATCTGCCCTTCTGCTCTGGCGCTTCATAAACTAGCTTGGAGCGAATGAACACTCTTGAATTTTCCAGAAACCGTTGACAGTTAACTTCTCACGTTCAGTCGGAAACTCGCGAGGGCCACAGTCTTGAGTTTCATTGTCGTCGACAACAAGACATCAGTGTTCACCACTGACGCTTCGCTGCCGTAAATTAGCTGTGTGTCAGCACACGGCGATTCCCCAAATATCAACAAGTCGTCCCAAGTACAACTAAGGGAACAGATTTCTCATCTGTTTCCATTGATTTCTTTTTACGTCCGGAATCCAGTTATTCACTTAAACTGTCCAGCTTCAACAGTATGTGTTCGTGATTTTGGAATATAACTGCAGATAATTTTGTGTACTCCTGATTACTAATTTAGACTCTAGGATATCAACTTCGTCCGCTTTCGCATCCGACGATATCTTCAATAATAATACAAGTCATAAGGAAACTGTTCGGTTTCAGCCTCTATGTCCTTTTTTCCAACTTGTAACATCGGACAGCTTCAATTTCCGAGTAGGCGAGGTTTCCTTTGTTTACCTGTAGGTTGTGACTGCAAGCTTGCTTTGTTGGCAATTTGTTCATTTGGAGATCTGAGCCCAGTGATCTGCTTTATCGAACTTAGATTATGGCCATAGGTGGCTGTATTTCAGTTCGGGTCATCACTTTATAAATCAGTTCGGGTCATCACTTTATAATCAGGTCTTTAATTGGGATATCTTTTTAAGCACATTTTCCATATGCTTCAAATTATTAAAGCGTTTATTTCAATTCACTGATATCTCGCACAGCATCTTTATCTGTTTGATAGATGTATTGCTACCATCATTTCGGTTTACTTAAACTCCGGTTAAAGAAGGTGATTTGAACAGTGTTCAGCCCTGTGAAAGTCTGTCACTTAGACCGATTGGCGGGTTATTGTTTTGTTTGTGAACTACATGTGTCTCGATTTCGACGTCAGTTATTTGACTATGAACACGATCTCCTTAGATTTGTCACATCAAGAAACATGGGGCACTTCACAGTAGGTTTAGGAGTATCGGGCTCTCGGGCTTCGTTTCATAGGAGCTTCTTTTAAAGAACTGGAGCACCAGGTGTCTTTCGATCTGTTACGTGCTGCCATAGTTTGGGGATATCTAACGGCTCGATAAATAGGGAGGTTGCTTCGTCGCTGGTGCTGTCCCGCCTCCCAGTGTGTTACTTTTTTTCGGCGTGACTAACGCGTTCAGTTAAACAGAAACGTGTCCTCCAGCATCAACCGGGTTGCGATGTCTGCATTTACGAGACACCACACTCACTTGGTCATCAGTAAATTTTTCCGATTGGGCGCAATTCATGTTCGGCACTATGAATCACTCTGTTCAGTTCATCTCACCAGTCCAAATTGTCTTGTGTGTCATTTCCTCGATATTAGTGGTTGGACTCTGGAGAGCACTCTGAGGACAGTCAACTGCCTGCATCCCTGACACACGTTGTGGAATTTCTCACCGGTTGAAGAAACATTTGTGTTTTTGACGATTTGAGCCACAAAGTGGCCTCATGCCATCGTTTACTACCTGCTCCATCACGTTAACCACAAGTTACCTACTACAGGTAAACTTTCGGCTAGTTTATTCGACCATTTTAAGTTTGCCTAATCTATCTTCTGAATGTATACCTCAGGAACCCAGTTGACGTATCGATTACTTTCAATTGTGACGGTTCTATCACTAGTCAGCGGTTCCGGTTTTTACGCAATTCTATTGCGTCAATCTTTGGTCGAAGGCGAATTTTCCTCTGTTGACTTTGTTTCTACTCCCTACGATTTTGCAGGCCTCTGGTTCCCACCTTCGCCCAAAACAACTGCTTGAGGGCTGATGTGGTATTTTTTCAGTGTTGATCTGTTTTCTACCCGGTTCTCGCGTCATCTGCGTGTGCATGGATCATCCGTGCAATCAAACGCTTATCTACCCTGTTTGTCTAGTTACTATCCCTGTCTAGGCGTAAGATTCCCATTTGATGTTCTGACCTTTTCGATATTGGTGTGGTACAGTATCGTTCGAAATGACTACCAAGGCGTTTGTAGTTGCACGAAGCTTCCAAGTTTTCTGTGTCCTTGTCATTAACAATGCTTGATGTTTTCAGGCATAGATACAGTGATTTCACGCTGCATTAGCTAAGTGCCTGGAGATGCGGGTGTTAATCGCTCTTAACGATAGGTGAAGAGTAATTTTACGGTCAGCTGATCTCTGTGAGTACCGTGACCATACTTTAAAATAAGGGTATCAATTGAGTCCGTGGTATCAGACTTCCGGTTCATTGATCACCTGTGGTTGGAACTGTGCAGATGCGGGGTGGTCGGGAACTCTTGTTGCAGTAATAACCGATTATTAAGCTGACTCAGATTCGTCCCGTTGTCTTGGTGATGTTTGTATTGTTGTTTCGCAAAACCCACAAGGAGACAGTACAGTGTTACATAAATTCAAGACTTTTTTGCTCAGTCTGATTCGAATACTGTCTTGGAGGATCCGTGCACACTGGAAAAAAGTCTTCCCTCACCGGCCAGACGCCTCGAACTCGAGATTTGAGACACATTATCATTCTTCTTACGTTTGTGGCTTTCAAAGGCGGTTGTGACAGGGCGTCTGAAACGCTATCGATTCGTCAACTCTTTCTGGATTATGGATCCCTTTGAATGGCGAATGGACAAATGCAAACGATGATGCGCTGCTTAGACCACATGGGTCGGGAGTACTACGGTGGATGTTGAAAATGTTATCCGCACATGATTTCAGAGCACCCATTTACACACATACTAGCACCAATGATACCAAGATTGATGAGGCTGAAGAATTATCGTTCACATGGACTTCAGTGGACAGTGCGTTGGATACACCCTGTTTACCTTAATGCACTGGAGGTGAGATGGCTCAGTGGTTAGAGCGCGGATTTACTGACCGAAGATCCGTGGTTCGAACCCGAGCTCTGCCTCTTGACTTCCTCTGTTTGGGCTTGGGTAACCTGACAGTATCTCAGCCCTCGTGCTTCCTTCGGGTGAAATGGCTGCTAGGCACCGAAATTTGCGTTGCAGCTGAACGATTATTTTTTAGACTGGACTTGGGTTTCAACAATCACCTTGGAATCGGTTGACTTGAAGTTTCAGCTTTTAACATTTCTGCATTTCATCAGTCTTGTGTATCACTCTTGCGTGTGGAGTCCAACCCTTTTTAACTATCATTAACGTCTCACTTGGCGGCCTCCAACGAGTGTCAAAACTGCTCCTGAGCCTAGAAATTTGATGTGTCGAGTTGAAAAGCCCTACATTCCCTTAATATCAGGATGAAGCTAGTCGGTACCGTAATCAAAGTCACTGCATGGGAAGGTTATAAATCGGAAGTTCGCTTTTAGGTTCTCTGTTGATATTATCTTCATTTGTAAGTGGGTATTTAAGTGTGCAATATTCATCTCAGCTCTACAGTTTTGATCTATGCTTTAGCGAACATTTTGATGATTATTTCGGCGGTGGTCTTCCTATGTGCGCGCAACTGCCTTGCAACATGGAAGAGCCAAAGGGACTGATATACTGCCTGATTGTCCTAAGTAGCTATGCTTTCTACTTGATGAATTTCATATCTGATCTTTGACTGGCTGTGACGCAAAAATTAGGGGCGATGTAGACGTAAGCTTCAACCGATCGATCGATCAGAGCCTGTTGTATTTGAATCTCGACCAATCAAATTCACTCCAACATCCAATCCCTGATTTGTCGACTCTCACTTAACGTAAGGCTGTCTAACCTTTTTTCATGGCTCGACGTAATCAGTCCAATGATTTCAGGGTGCATACATATCACATGGTCAGACTTTTTCAGAACAAATGCGCAGTATCTTTGTAATGTACTACTCATAAGGTTGCTGAAAATCCATCCACAGCCCACGACCGGTTTCGCCCTTCTTGGGGCTCATCAGGTAGGCGCAGTCCCCGGGTTTCCGTCAACCTTATGTTCTACTTGAAACCAAATTGCACGAAATTAGCGAATATACACTCATCTGCAAACTAATTTGGTTGTTTCGAGAGACTAACCTGGAACCCAGCTGAATCTCTCGTTTATGATGTTCTCAGGCAACTGAATGTGCTGCACCAGGCCGCCTCATGTTTCAGTCGCCACGATATTTGAAATATCGCGATACATGTATGTGTAATGTACTACTCATAAGGTTGCTGAAAATCCATCGACAGCCCACGACCGGTTTCGCCCTTCTTGGGGCTCATCAGGTAGGCGCAGTCCCCGGGTTTCCGTCAACCTTATGTTCTACTTGAAACCAAATTGCACGAAATTAGCGAATATACACTCATCTGCAAACTAATTTGGTTGTTTCGAGAGACTAACCTGGAACCCAGCTGAATCTCTCGTTTATGATGTTCTCAGGCAACTGAATGTGCTGCACCAGGCCGCCTCATGTTTCAGTCGCCACGATATTTGAAATATCGCGATACATGTATGTGTAATGTACTACTCATAAGGTTGCTGAAAATCCATCCACAGCCCACGACCGGTTTCGCCCTTCTTGGGGCTCATCAGGTAGGCGCAGTCCCCGGGTTTCCGTCAACCTTATGTTCTACTTGAAACCAAATTGCACGAAATTAGCGAATATACACTCATCTGCAAACTAATTTGGTTGTTTCGAGAGACTAACCTGGAACCCAGCTGAATCTCTCGTTTATGATGTTCTCAGGCAACTGAATGTGCTGGCAGTAGTTCTCGCAATTTAAACTCCTACCTCAGTGTGCTTTCTGTCTACTTTGTTTTAAGCTCATGAGCTCTATAGGTTGTCATTTATTTCATTATCGTGGACCTTTCATCTGCACATTCCTTATCAAGCTACCTACATCCATCCCGTTTCCAATGCACTGCTGCAAACACATTCCAACTTTTTACCGTTTCTTTTTTCCTATCCAGGTCAAAAGATCAAACTTATACGTGAAGAGACCGGTGCTTTAATTACCACTCCAGGAGAGCACGAAGAACATGTGTTCATCATCGAAGCCCCGCCGGAGATTGCTATGCGTGTTGCTCACCATTTGAGCACACGAGCTCAGGAAATCACCCAAAGCAAGCTAGCGGCAGGAGAAAGGAGGCGCGGTTCAACCAGTTCACAACCTTCCAGTGGTAGCAGTGGTGGTGGATTGGATGGCAACGGTATATCGACTGGTAGCTTCAACGGAACTGGCTCAAACTGTCCCACTTCTGGAAGCGGGTTACTCGCCCCGATTGGTGGCCCACCTCCCTCGAACCTACTATCACTTGGAAATAGCACTACGAATTCTCCGTTGCATCCTACGGCCGGTGCTTTGTTACAAGCTGGCACTAACGGTGCTTTGCGGACACCCAATGGATCTCTATATCCCGGTCAGATGTCCAGCCTACCTTCCAGTCCGTGCAATTCAAGCAGCCTCAATAACCTCGGGGGTACCGGTGGTGTTGGCGGTCACGGAGGTCAGGGAAATCTTAACGGAGCTGGTTCTAGTGGAGGTGCGGGTCTCTTCATATCACCCAACACCCCCGGAAGTCGTATTCTTCTTGCTCGTGGCAGGATCTCAGTTCCTCAGGAATTGGTTGGAAAAATTATCGGGACTCAGGGCTCCATCATCACAACCATTCAGAAAGATACTGGAACAGAAATCAAAAGCCCACCAAAGGAAGCTGCCAGAGGCCCAAACGCTACTTCAGAGTTCGAGATATCTGCATATCAAGGTGTTGGCCTTAGTTCGAATCAAGCCGCAGAATGCCGTGTGCAACAAGCCAAGCAATTGATTGGACATCTGGTAATGCGTCAACTCGAGCGTCGTGCTAGTGAGGAAATTGACGAAGCTTCGGGTTCGTCTAATCTCAGTTCAGATGACCAAAGAATGGGGTTGGGTGGTGGGAACACACCGCGAACAACTACTGCTTGGATGTGGCCTGATGTAGCCCAGATGGATTCACAAGAGGCGCGAGAGGTTTTAGATCGAATTTTAGCTGAATCGAAAAATAAAACCCGCCGTGCCAAGGAACTGGCGGCAGCAGCGGCAGTCTCTGCTGGACCATCTCCCACTTCGAGTGGACCTTCGTTGTCCAACCCTGGAAACGCAATGCTTGGTCTCGGAGGTGCTGGAGTCCTGGGACAAGAGTCGACGACACACCATTTCCGTTCTCAATTGATGGGAACCGCTGGTTTGTTTGATCAGTCAGAATCATCGGAATGCAATGAGTCAATTGTGGATTCTGCGGGATCTGGATTGTTCGCTTCCTCGAATACATTTACACACCGAAATTCTTCAAGCACGTTGGTGGATGATCCACAGAACAGTGGACTGGGGCGTGGGCAGCCCTGCAGTCCTCGCTCTATTTCAGGTATGTTTCCTATTTCGTTACTTGCATTGTCCCGTTTGCTTGCGGGCCTAGCCAGTATCTCGCATCTTGGAACCATCAGGTAGCTCCGTGACCTCCGAACTTTGAATCAGTTTTGCTTCCTTCGGTTTAGTGAGAAAAGAGAAGTATGATTGCAGTTGGTACGCAATTTCGTCGAGTGCCATTATTTTGAAAATTAAGTTTTTTTCGAGCGACAATAAGACAATGGCTTCTGTAGTATTTGAAATCCGTCCATTTTGTTCACCGAATTCGGTTGAGACGGATTGTGTGACCTATAGTCAGAATGAGCCTATTTTCTTCCTTACTGTTCTTCCGGGGTAAAATATGTCAGCTTGATCCTCTGAGCGCTGTAGAAACACGTTTTCCCTGTATTTCGAACTCGTTTTTTTGCGCATCGGTTTGGAATTTCACAAAATCTTCGCATCGCTTTGTTTCCCATGGTTGTAACGCAATCTGGGCGATCAAACAGCGGACTTCATCCAAACCACAATCTTAATGTTCACTAGTAAAAAAACTAACCTCGAAACGTTGCCTAGGTTTTTTTAATGATCCTATTCTGGCAACCTGCGTCACATGACTCGCTTACTTTGGTCAATGTTCCTCCAAATAGCAAGCCCAATTGCGATGGTCTGACGTGCCCGCAATTCCGCTCTCCCACTTGCCCTAAATTCCACCACCATCGCTCCTGTCCCAACTCGGTCGCATTTCTATTCGCTGATCTGCGTCAAAGGTCACGTGGCCTGGCAAACCACGCGGTGTGGTGTGGTGCAGACGGGTAGACTTTCATCTGTCAGGCTTTCACATATGGTTTTCATCGCTGTTTCACTTTATGGCTTTGTGGTTGTACTGGTTGTACTGTGAATACTGTCTCTGATGCTGATTGTTTCCGTGTCGTCTCTGGCCCGTTACTTGCTACTCTGTGCATTGAAGACATCATTCTTCTTCGCATTCGCCAAATTTTTTCGGAAGTGGTGGTCGCTACGGTTAAAACAGACTCCGACTATCTATCGTTCGGATTTTTCAGTCAAGTTCGTCCACTGTATCACTTCGTTGCCTGTACCTTGTGCATATAGTGCGATATTCTGGTACTCCTAGTCCCTGCAAGGGAATTATGCACACACTGCCGAAAGCATCTTCGAACATTACCACAGTGTTAAATGAGATAACATGAACAACCCATAGCTGGTAACCAGGTCTTTAAAATGCAAGATTTTATTCGGGCATTTATTTTTCGGAGTGAAAGTAAATAAGAGCACGAAAACACTGTATCCGTGCGGTGCTTGGGTTAGTCAGCTATAGACCTCGTTCCAGGATTCGCCGAAGTTTTGTACACTAGGTGATAAAGAGAGTGATGGTAGGGCGGTCACAAATTGAAGTTCACTTGCGCCAAGTAGTTCCAATTCACTCACAAAGGAGGAGTCGGGGCAATTAGCCATTGAAGGCGGTATCTTCAAAGCTGAGCTGATCGGGCCATATCTGTGAGTGTTACCAACCATCTCCTCCTGAGATCGCTATTCAGTCAAAACTTTTGGACTTCTTTTTCAAGTTATAGATTGGTGAATCTAATACCCTCTACACTCGATACACTGCTTAGCAGAATTGATTCTGTAAAAAAGGTCCTCCGACATACTAACATAAGCTGTGGAGTGTGACTAGCTTGTGAGTCTTTTCTTCCGAAAATCATCCAACGTACCTCAACATTGTCAGGTTAGTGATCCCACCCGAACAATGCTTCGGATATACCGGTGGTTAAACACTGGAAGTTTTCCTACCGATTCGACAAGTTTCTGGCCTGTGACTCACAACGGCCTTGTGAACACCACTCTTGACAGATAAGCCAATGTCAGGACAATATCATAGGTTTCCGTAGTTGACAATAACCGCCAAAGCGGTTCTCGGTGTGATTTCATCTTTATCCACTCAGTCGGTTGCTGCTTTCATCGGTAACTTTGCACCTTAACCACTGAGCCATCTCGAGCTCGAATAAGTTCTATAAAGCCTAGTATAGGCGAATTTGGAAGATCCCTAGCAGAAACTGGCGCATAGAAAGTAAGGTTTTGTGGTGAGGCTGAAGCCGTGAAAAAGTGCTCTTCGTGGTAAAGATCTTTCCTGAAGATGGTGCTGTAGTGGAAGATCAGTTGAATTTACCTAATTTACTGAAGTCGAGCGAACAAAACTTGTCGGTTGGTATGCTCAAATGAGCTCAAATGCTCCTTGTAACTGGCTAAAACATGAAATTTGATTGTGCCAGCTTGTGTGCTCTTGATCTTCACCCGAGTGAGATCTCGTGTAGCGTGATATATGAATGTGCAAACGTCTCTGACCGCAAAACCAAATTCGTGACTGTCCTGAAACACTCTAGTAAAGAAGCGTTAGTCAGAATGTCATCCACACAGTGCAAGTATAGCTAGATGCTTCCCAAAAACTTTGGGGCGTAAAGGCCGGGAAGCTTCATCGAAATCTGTTGACGGCGTGTAAGATGGTTGTATACTTTTGTCGCACCTAATTTCAACTTTTTCGTGTTTTATGGTCAACTGGTCAGATTAATATTCTTGAAAATACTGAGATTGATTTTTGTCGACGAAAAATAATTCAGTTCCGTCCACCTAGTGCGGTATATAAACCGTGAAATTTCCGTCGAACAGCACGGAAAATTCCAAAACCGGAACTGCCGACCTCAAAAATTGACGGTTTCAGTGTGAAGGAAGTCCGGTGCTCATTCAATGTATACGTGGGGTGGATCACAGACACCAAACGCTGCAGCGCGAACGAGTGCCCTAAAGGCACCCGGCGAATGCTTTCGGGACACCGTTAGCCGGAGGTTGGCAAAAGCTGCCCTGACTTTCCCGATCTGAGAAGTAATCTCATCTCCAGCCAGTCCACCGGTTTCCGTCGGCGAGCTGGTGTCGGTGTTCCAGTCAGGGTTTCTGGGTTCTTTCAGTTGTGTTGGAGGAGACCATCTGGAATGTTCTCGGAAGCGCTCAACCCATTGCTCAAGACGACGATTGAGGGAGTGAATTACCCTTCCGTCTTCTTCGCATATAGTTTCGCTGGCACTTGTCTTCTTTTGATCGGTTGATGGAATCAGCTGAACTAGGGCGCGATTGTTGCTCGCCTTTGAAATCCATCAGCGTTCTATGTCGTTCTTCAAGCTCCTGATTATGCAGTATTTGAGGGATCTACTTGCGCGATCGTCACTAGATAAGGGTAACCAAATACATCGAACCTCCTTCCAATAATGCGAAACTCCTTGTCGTGAAGCTTGAAAACGCTAGAAAACACCCTGAGTGTGTGAAGGTTGAGATCTAGACTACGAGGGTTCGTAGTTTGGGGTCAGTTAAACCCTCCTTGCCCTTTTTCTTCGGATAAAAATGGCACCTGAAACAATGTTCAGGTTTGGATGTGTTCCGAGTAAAAATGGTTCCAATTGATCCGAACAAGCCAAGCGAAAGTTGAATAATCAGACTAAACTGAGGTCGTGAACGATGGAAACGATCGCTGATAAGTATATTGGTCTCTTGAGTGGCTGGTTTCTAAAATGACTACTCTTTACAGGTCAGAGTGCTGGGTCAAAGGTTATTGGTAGCCCTCTCCAAAGTAAGAAAACTTCATCTACCAGCGGTCTTGCGAGTCAGATGTCGATGGCTGAGATACTGCAGCGAGCAACGTTCTGCGGTCTAAGTGACCGGAGATCATCATTCGTCCCTACGGGCTTTTTGTCCGCGATCCACTCCCACAACGCCATCCCAAAAACGATAGCACTGTATCCAGTGCATGTAAGCAGCCTAGTGATTGAGAATTAGGTTTTTGTTAACACCATGGGTGGTCCTGATGTTGTTGCGGAGTGTGGACTTCTTTGAGAGATCGATCAAATCCACTCACTTCGTTTATCACTGGTGATCAGAGCGACGTGACTGTCTGTTGCTGGGCCCTCCATCCAACCAGTGTGTGTGTAGTATACAAGGGCTTGGAATATATCAAGTCGGTATATCGACGTGTAAGATCTCAGATCTCGACCAAACATCGTGACCTTATCGGCCAAAAAATTCGGTGATAATACATCTGACAGGACTCGTTTTGGTGATTCTGGATCGAGCTACGCGATCCAGTTCGGTAGCAAAGCGTTCGAACTACGGACCTTCCGCTCAGTAAATTCGCGCTCTAACCACTGGGCCATCTCGCCCCGCTAGTAACCACTAGTAAATTCGCGCCTAACCACTGGGCCATCTCGCCCCGCTAGTAACCACTAGTCACTCGCTCTCTGCTACTATGTGAAGAAGCACCGAACACCACCCTATCACCCTCTAGCGTGTTTTTGATGTGCATGGCGTGTCTATTCATTGTTATATTCGACTATAACGGACGCACTTGAACTACAACTTAGCTGAGATGCCCTATGGTTTTTCTTCTGCGGCGGAAGTGCCACTCCTGATTAGGCGCGGATGGTTCTGCATTAGTTCGCATTGCCGATCCTCGACTGTTTGCGGCAAGATGTCCCTAGTGCTTTCCTTATAACTTTTCTTATGACAGAAAGTCATTTGTAGCAGGGTTTCTCCCATTAGCTGTCAGCTGCCAAGGTTCTGCCAGGTGACGCGAAAGGCCTTCTGAGGTTGTGATTCTCTTGCGATCTAAATGTATTTTCATCATCCGATATCTTATTCCAACGAGAGATCTCTTCCAAGTTCGTATCAATATACAAAATCATTTGGCTCCCCGTAATTGTCACAGGGTTTTCTTCATCCTCAAGAGAACGATTGACTGAAGGTTCCTATGGTAATGGTTTAGCTTGGCAGTCTAGCGGCAACCAGTCAGATTTTTCATTTAGGATGTGTTCCTCCCCCGCCCAGCTTTCGTCGACTTCGTCCACGCATTAGTTTGCACCACGTCACTGACCCGGTTCGATGGGGTTGTGGCAACCTGATTTAAAAACTCAATTTTGGAACTGCTACTTCATTTCACCATATTCAACCAACTGACCCGAGGGTCCTGTATATGTTTGTGAGTTTATTTGACGGACTGTTGTGATGGCATGCTTTGGTTCAACTTGTAACTACGACGTTTTTCACAGTTGATAGCCTGAGTTACGTGTGTGCACAGCAGAACCCCTCTGCAACAATCTCTTGACTCTCTACTTCAAGTCTCAGTTCAGACGTTCACAGAACGAGTTTCCACCCCTCTGGTATTAACAGCGACGGCGACTATGTGTTCAACGACTTGAGGCGATCTCGTCGGAAACCGGAGGTGGAGTTTGGATCCTATAGTAGATACTGACTTGACTCCACGTCTGTTACTGTGGCTATAAGGTGTGCTTTTTACAGTAGGCTTCAAAATTGTGCCTTCACTTGAGGTGTACCGAAGTTCTTGCACTTCTCAGTGGTGTGAATACACTGTCTCGGATTTGTGGATGCGATCACCGGGCAGAGATATCAGTCTGTTACGAGGTTTTGATTAGTGGGTTATTAGGAGAAAGTGGAGTAGCTTGGGTGACAACAAGGCACCCGGTTATCTGGAAGGATGCATGTAACAGATCGTTTTATGCACAGTGCTGTTCTCTTTTTGCATCGCTGATATCCAGATGTGATTTACTGATTTACTACATCAACAGCCTCGTCAAGTGAAGAAAGGTCCTGAGGTTTTGAGTGGTCCGACCGTGAGAGACACGCTCTGGTTCACTGCTTCTGGCAGCTTGGATACATTCTGCATACCTGTCTTCAGGGTATACCCTATTTTCGTCCGCCGTCTAGTGTCCTATTTCTTGAGGGTTTCCATGTCCACACTGCCACCCATCCACATCAAAATTACGCCCAGTCGTAGCGATTTGTAAACGACATTCTCTTTTGCGAATTTATTTCATGTAGGAACTCCCATTTAGGCAGTGGGTTGTGAGTCGTATTACAAGACTCATGCTGCTGTATGTCGACCTGATCCGACGGTGTCGAGGTTCCCTTGAAGCGAGTCTGACACTATAATCTTGATTGCTTCGAAGGCACAAAGGCGCGAAATTTGCTGTGATTCGTCACTGTGGATAAATGGTCAGAGTGCAGTTGCAGCCGTTTTACCTTAAATGGTTTACCCTTCGCTCTCACGATACAAACGGGACAGGTAATGCTTTATTCGTCTGAGCACCTCTCCGGCACGTAGAAAACACGCTGTATCATGCCAGGTGAACGCCAGATGCATGCACGCACACAACAAGACTGCCTACCATTCACATGATCCCTTAATTCATCGAGACGATCTCTACACTGGACGTTTGTGCTTGTAGCATTAGTACCCCATCGATCGGACACTGAGTGATGCTTGCTGATTCACGCTGGTGGATGTACGTTCGCACCAACAAGTCCACAAAAGTATACGCACAAGGTTTAGTGCAAAATTCAGGCTTCGGTATGGCCTGCGTTCCTTTTCCAAGCAGGTCATCCAAACTTCCAAAGTGCGGCATTGTGGTGGTGGTGGGGGGATTATCAAGATCTGCAGCCGTGTTTCAGTGGAAAAGGATTTGGTTCGCCTTCACTCCGGCTAGCTGGTATATGCGGTACAGGTGAGCCGTATTTTGCAGTTATCCACCCCCTAGGTCTCCTTTCCCCCGGGAGAGAAGTTGGTTCATTCGGATCCCTAAAGAGAGAGAGAGAGAGACAACTGTATTTTCATAGTGGCTGAAGATTTGCGGAATATGTGCACGTCACGGTTTTTGCCCCATCCCGTCAAACTTTTTTCTCCTTTTCATTGCGCCAATGGAGATGGTTACATGGGGATCGGTGCTGTGGCACGGTACGGTACGTAAAGTGATACTGGAGCCGCTCGGTTCTTTTTGAGTCCACTCAACAAGTAATATGTTCGAAGTAGGGGAACCGATAAATTAGCCCATTGAATTTAAAAACCTCTTTTCGACTGGAGCGGCACCACCGCCCAACATGAAGGAGCCTTATGTGGTTCGTCTGTCCAAACCAGTCCGCGTGAATACGGCCTACATTTGAGAGCGTATCGGCATGAAAAACTAATCAACCGTAGTTCGGTGGTGCGAATAACTGGTACTGTGTGTTTGTTTTAAGGGATCTGTTGAAACCGGGACCTGCCTTTTTCCGTAATATAACACCTGACTCACAAAAATGGAGCGTATTCGATGACCTGAACTCTATATTAGGGTTCAGGATGTCCTGTCATGTGCTACGCGAGTAACAAACTAATCATAGCTTCATAAATGTCCCAGTCATTTGCTCATTTTTTCGAAGGATCGTCAAAATCTGCAAACCAATTGTTAAAACAAAGCGAGGTTTCTGAAAGACGTATAGGGGAACAATCAGGGTAGTGCATGAGATTTCACGCGAGTACCACAAACACAGAGGTCATTCATTTCGCAATGCGGCCCAATATACTGAACC